GTCGAATGTGGTTTTTTTTAAATTTATGTTTTCAACGCTAGGCTGCCTCATTCTGGGTATGCCAATATGAAGCTGAAGAAAATCATGAGCTGGCTCGGTGATTGAAAATATGAATAGAATAAGGACAGTTGCTATTGTTATTCAAAGTGATAAGAGTCTCAGGCTAAAATATTCCAATATAGGTCAATAAACACACACACACACACACACACACACACACACACACGCACGCGCGCGCGCGCGCACACACTCCCTCTTCACCTATATATGGATCAGCCTGGACAGGACCAAGTGCGGCTATTCTTAGAACACAGGCCTCCTAACCACACTCAGGCCCTCCAACCAAGCACTGTCCCTCAAGATTTCCTTTGATTTGCGTATGTGCTCACTTAGGTTAAAGTCCATCCTAGGAATCATTCGGCCTCCAAAAATTGACTCTGCATATCTCTACATTCCATTATGTGTTGATTTTAAATTTAACCCCTGAAGGAAGCTTTGTATTTCCTTTAACCTAACATCTTGGTGGTGTGCCTCTCTATACCCTTAAACACTGTTCTCAACTTACTGTATCTTACTGTCAATTAAACAGGATTCTCTAGGGCTATGCTTGTCAATCTTTAAAGTGGATATAAATCACCCAGGCATCTTGTTAAAATGTAGATTCCAATTCAATAGATCTGAGGTGAGGCTTGAGATTCTGGAATGCTGCTGGTCCAAGGACCAGTAGCCAGCTTCTAAGGAGAATCTCAGCATAAAACTCAATCTGCTACATTATTTAGGTTCTGCTTGCTAGAGAATACGTAATTTAATAGATCACTAATATTCAATTTGCCTATGACAACACTAATGTTGCTAAGTAAATACAGAGCAGTCCAACCACCAGAAGAGGCAAATTTCAGGTCAGCTTAATTACATCTTTCTGAAATTCTCAGCAATACAGGCACAGATAAGTAACCCTATAAAAGGAATGGAGTTCAAAAACTATCATGGGACTCAAACTCCATAGCATCAGTTGGCTGGCACTATGGAGTGGTTGTCCCCTTTGGGGAGTGTCCACCAAAGTATTCAAATTGCATTTTGTTTTACAGTCATTCATTAATTCAGCCAATATATAACACCTACTAAGTGCCAGATCTTAAAGGAGTGGCAACATGGAAAGTAGCATTCCTTTATTAGAGCAATGGCTCTCAAGAGTTTTGGACCTCGATGGTACAAGAGACTCCACTCATCCCATTTTAAGTGACACTTACCCAGGGACCTTGGGAGAAGGAGGCATTCTATATACATTTGTTTTAGAATCAGGAGCCTAAATGGTTCATATAAAAACTGCAAAGTTTCATCTAAAGTCAAATCACAGGTCAACTATTATGCCAATGATAATTTGCAATCATATGGGAACTTCCACAAACTCCCACTACCTCAATTTAACTACCTGCATCTGTGAATGAAAGCACTGCTGTACATTTCTGGGTCAGTTTAAAACTCATCAGTTGATTCTTAGACTCAACTTAGAGAACCACTAATTTGGTGCAGACTTCACTGCTCATTACTTGACCACAAATGGAACATTTTAATCCATTTACTTGAGAGCGTTTTAGAATTATCCTCAACCATTTCATTAAAAAAAATAGGCAAATTCTGTGACATAGAGCCATTTAATCCACTCAGTTCAATAAAGGTGAGGTTCTTTGTATCTGACAGTATGCTCCAGTTAGTAAGCTCTCTTAAGTCTGTTTTCAACCTCTTAGCCCTTTTTAGATAACTCCATTATTTCCAGCTCTGAGCTCTTCCCCAAAACCCACTCTCTCAGTGCCTCTGGGGCAGCGGTTCGGGTAGCAACCCCTTTGGGAGTCGAACGACCCTTTCACAGGGGTCGCGTAAGACCATCGGAAAACAAAAAGATATTTACATTGCGATTCATAACAGTAGCAAAATTACAGTTATAGAGTAGCAACGAAAATAATTTTATGGTTGGGCGTCACCACAACATGAGGAACTGTATTAAGGGGTCGCGGCCTTAGGAAGGTTGAGAAACGCTGCTCTTGGGTGTTTCCACTTGGATATCTCCCTATCAGACTACTGTACATTCAACAGGCCCAATCACGAGTTCATTAACTTCCTCCTGAGCTAAACTCTGCCCCGTTTATCTCTGTCACCTGTTTGGGAGTTGTCTTCCACTTCTTTCTCACCCTGTTATCTACCATATCCAATAGGAAAACAAATTTCTTTGAATATTTCTTTTAAATGTAAATCAGACTCCCTCTTCGTTTCATTGAAACAGCTTAATTTACTCCTCTTTCTCCAGCTCATAATACAAGATAAGGGAAGCCTCACTGGAGTGTTTTTTTACAACTGATACAGTGATATGAAATAAAGTCAATTTGAAATGATAAAACTTTAAAATGGAACTTCTTATAAAGTCCACCAAAGGAAAAAGAACTAAGCTAAAAGTAAGGCTCTCTGAGGCATCTTGGAAATGTCATAGATCTACCTTTCGTGGCCCAGTTTTATTCCAAAAGAAATACAGAGATAAGAAATAATACCTGTTCATGGGTTTTTTGCTTTGTGGAATTGCTTTGAAGGAAATAGGAACTATGTTTTGAGCCTTCATTATGGGCTACTTTTACACTTTAAATACTCATAAAAATTCCATTATTCACCCTATTTTACAAATGAAGAAACAGATTCAACGAGATTAAGGAACGTGTTGGTTACAGAACTGTCTAGTGGCAGAACTGAATTTCAAATCCTGGCCTCTCTAATCAAGCACAAGCAAGCCCAAGGTTTCTACTGCATCACAATTCAATTTCTAAAGTGCTATATACGTATTCATTCAAGGTATTGTTGCCATTCTTATACTTGTTTGACTTGAAATAGGATTATAAACAGAAATTAGCATAAATGACCTAGTTCAACAAATTTGGACATTAGCTTCTCCAATATGAGATAATACAGAGACTTTATTTGCATTTCTTCATTTTCCAATTAAAGTTCAAGGGAAGAGAGTAATTGATTTAGGAAGCACAAATGGTGTTAACAGAGCTCACCATCTCAGTGCTGAAAGGCCTCTAATTAACATTTCTAAAGTGGAAGGGGCCCAAGTAAATTTGCCAAAAGGAGGGATATGGAAATTCTGCCCACAGCCAGAACAATGGACATAGATTTGTCAAAACAAAGAACAGTAAAGTGAGGAAGGGCACTCGGTCCAGCCCTTGTTATACTTCAGAACTATTTTTCCAGTTGCTGCTTTCCTATTCACTCTAACACAGAAAACAGATTAAACAAGATTTTATGTTTTGCAAATTTATATTATCCATTAGCCGAAGCAAAAGCACTGCAAACAGTAAGTTACACCAGGGAACACAATCTCCAATATGCAATCGAAAAACTTCCCATTTCAGTTCTACAAAAGGAATCTTCAAGACTTGGTGCCTACTGTGCGTCTTTGGCACAACTTTAAAGTTGTAGTGCTAATATAGACTAAATTTAAATGAGGTCTTTACTGCCTGGAACTAATCAATGTATTTCAGAGTTACACAACATCTTGGCTTCCATAGTGGCCTTGGGATGGTCTGTCAATGAGCTACATCTGGACAGCTGGGAAACAACATCAGTAATCAGACAGGAGGTAAATTAGCCTTGAGTTTAAAGTACAAAGCTGAAACAAGCCCTGAATAATGCCCAAGGCACTCGATTTCAACACTGTGTGAGTGGCAGATTCTTCTCCTTTGGCTTACTGCTGGGCTTTTCAATGGGGAAAAACACGTCTCAGGTGCTAGGCTACCGGTGTGAAGGACCACCTAAGTAAGTCCTTTAAAAACATTTTGTGTACTTCCACTTAGAATATGGAACTACTCCTCCCACCCACCCTGTCCCCCAAGCCAAAAGCACTTGCTAGCCACTGCGGTATCCCCCTGGCTCTTCCTCAAACTGTAGTTAGTGGGCCGTCCAAAGACATGAAATGGGCTTCCGTCCTTTTTCTATGCAATCTCCACCCCGACACACTGACACACACACTCAGTCACACACCCATGCGTCCAGGAAAAGAAAGCTTCTAAGTAAACAAACTCTTAAGTAAACAAACACAAATTTGCGACCCAACTCTCGCTACTACTCAAGCACGCATTAAGAACGTGCCAGTTTTATACAGATTTTGTTTTTAAGCTCTTCCTAGAAACTAGCATGGTTGTGCTCTAAAGGCGAATTTTAAATAGCACGTGATTTTTAAGATAGTTATTTTTATCTATGCTTTCTATTGTTTGGGGGAGGCTGTGCCTAAGGCAGGTAATCTGCAACCTCTCTCAATCGGTGGCTGGGTTTTAAACGGCTACATTCACCGATTTGGTGCAAGCCCCAGACCCCCCAACTGACAGATGGTTGAACTCTAACGACGACTGAAAGTCACTTGGATGTTCCAGTTTAACTAGGCGATCTTGGAGGAGTCTGGGTGTCTGTATTGGGAAAGGGAGGGGAGGTTGAGGGTGGAAGGACAGTTTGCACAGGTCCTTGTTTGCTCCAGAGACGAGCCGCGGCAGGCGTTCTGCAACACGTGCACACAGGCAGCAAAACAAAACCGATCCGGAGGCGGAGGCGAGCCCCGCCGGATTCACCGAGTTCCGCGGGATAACCGCTGTGCGGAAGCCCACTGCCTAGTGCCCAGGCGGGTGCTGGTTCTCCTGCCAGTTTCAACCTCTTAAGCCAGCTGGCTAGCCCTGGCTCTCTGCGGGTCTCGCGCCCGGGGCTCCGCAGCAAACTTTGGGAGGAGGCAGTTCTAGGGGGACTGCAGGGCCCCCTTGTTGCTGTTTTCTCCTGAAATCTGGTGTCCACCTTCAGACTGGGCATTTTCCCCCGTGGCCCGCACTCGAAGGGTCCAGATTTCTCCCTGCAGTAGTTTCCTTGAAGCTCTGGGTTCTGAACGCCCCTTCCCATGCCCTGAGCTCCCCCCCCACATCGCCCGCCCCCGGGGACGGGCGCGCAAACCGAGCTCCCCTGGCACTTACACGTGGCCACAGCGGGTTCGGACAGGCTGGTGCAACACCTCAAGGCACACGGAGCAGTCGAAGGACGTGACGGGCAGCTCGGGGACCCTCTTGCGTTCCAGGGCCCGCGGGGTGGCCGAGGCGGGTGAAGATTTGCCATTATCGCTGCTTAACACCGAGCCCATCGCTGACCCTCTCACCCAGACAGCTGCCAAGAGCGCAGTGCCTGCCGCCGGGCTGTTTTGTTGTCCTGCGGTGGAGGAAGGAAGTCCCGGCCCAGCTGTGATCGCCGCCTCCTAGCGCGCCCAGCAACCGCAGCCTAGATGCAGCCTCGGTGGCAGCGCCCAACCTCTGTCTAGGGCAGGCCGAGTGCACGGCAGCGCGTCTGAAATTGTCTTTTGCTTGTTGCCTTGGTGGAGGCGCGGAGGCGGAGGCGGCAGCTGCACCGTTCACGCTGTAACGTCTCGTAGTCCTACGAGGATTGAAACCTGAAACCTCGACTGCAGAGCAGAGGACCTGGTTGGGCAGTGAACTTTCCAGGCTATCGCGAAATCCTCTTTCCCCACGGTCGCAAGTTAAGGAAAGCGCGGGCCTGGTCATGCTTTATGGGAATCAGAGAACCCGCCCCGCCCCGCCCCGCCCTGCCCCTTGTAAGGTGGTGGTCCTATCAGTTCTGCCCTGTTGTAATCATAATAAGCTACAGAGATGATTGATGATTGAGCATCTCTTAAGACAGTATTATTCACTACTTCAGTCAGTACTCCATTAATGGAGAGGTAGCATGGGGTAGTGGAAAGAGTTCTCTACCACAGGAACTCACCAGTTTCCTCCACTCAAGATCTCCTGCTGTTTGCATTCTCAGCCCCATCCTCTTTTTAAACATAACCAAATAGATCACTGATTAATTGACACATTCAATAAGTCTTATTTAGTGCCCATTACATGCCAGACTCCATTCTGGTGATGGGCACCCAGTTCCCAACAACCAAACAAAATCCTGGTTCTCATAGAACTTACTTTAAAAAGAATTATTTTGAGATAACTATAGTTTCACATGCTTATTAAGAAATAATACATGGTAATACATAATACATACAATACAATACATACAATACTACATAATATAATCACATGTATAATACATTAAAATCCCATAAACTTCACCCAGTTCCCGCCAGACTTAAATTTAATGAGAAGATATAAGTAATCAACAAATAAATAAGTGAACAAGATCATTTCAGATAATAAGAGCCATGAAAAAGGTAAAACAGAGAGTGAGGATGAAGGGGAGGATAAGAAGGTCAGGGACTTTTTGGATGCGGTGACATTTGAGCAGCGTCATGAATAATAAAAAGGAGTCAACTATTCAAAGATTTAGGGAAAAACTTGCTAAGCACTGGGGACAGGGAGTGAGGCAAAAACAAAAAGTAGAAACAGTGCGGAGCGAGCCTAGGGGAGCGGGTTGGGTAGATGGGATGAGATAAGGTAGGAGACAGGCCCGATCTTATCCAATCTTACAGGCCAGGCCCAAGAGTTTGGATTTTATTCAAGGTGCCATGATTTGATTTACTCTGACTGCTGTGTGGGCTTAAAAAACAGGAACAAAATAAGAAAGCAGAGAAACCAGTTAGGAGGCTACTGAATTAGTCAAAGTGAGGATGATAAAGGTTGGGACCAGGGAGTTAGTTACCTGGGTAGAAGGTGAGAGGTGGACAGGTTCGGCATAGATGTAGGAGAAAGACCTAAAAGGGCTTGCTAATGGATTGGAGATCTTTAAAAGAAAAACAAAAACCCTCCCTTGATCCCCACATGTCTCTCTGCTCCTGCCCTATGTCCTCTTTAAGGCCAAATTTCTTGACCTGATTCTCTACATTTGTATCTCCATTTTTTAATTATCCCCTCTTTATCTAGTCCAACCTGGGTTCTGAACCAACCACTCAACCTCCATCTGTTCAAAAATTGCTTCATCACCAATGTCACCAGTTGG